AAAAAAAAAAAGTTAAACATTGATTTATCATTTGACTCAGCAGTTTCACTCATAGGTTCGTACCCCTGAGAAATGAAATCATATGTATGTAAATATTCATAGCATTATTTATAACAGCCAAAAGATAAAAACAATCCAGATATCCATCAGCTTATGAATGGATAAGCAAAATGTAAATCCTTATAAGGAAATATTATTTGACCATGAAAATAAAAAAATAACTGATTCATGCTATAACATGAAAGCCAGTTACAAAAGACCACATATTGTACAAGTTCATTTACATGAAATGTTAAGAATAGGCAAGTCTATGGAGACAATGTAGATTAGTGGCTGCATATGGAGGGGGAGGATGGGGTTATTGAGGGTGATGGGTAAAGGGTATGGGATATAACCATTCTAAAATTGATTGTGGTGATGGATTTACAACTCTTGAGTGTACTAAAAATCATTGAATTGTACACATTGTATGAGTGAATTATATTTCAATAAAGCTGTTACCAAATTTTTTTAAATCTTAAAGAATGTAAAAAATAAGGATATTTAAATCTTTAACACAGTATCTAGCAAATAGTATGTCTTTAAGAGTAGCTATTGTTTGATAAATACCATTTTGAATTTTGCTTAGTGACATAGATTGAACTGGCATTAGTGTGTAAGATGGTTTGGTGATGGAAAAACCAGTCAGGACACTAATTGTCATGGTTCAGACGAGAGACAATATAGGTGTCAGCTAAGATTATATCAGTAGGTATGGAAAGCAAGTGGTAATTTTTAACTACAAGTAAGTGGTGACATTTTGCAGATAGAACATGAAAGTAAAAGCCACAGGATTTGTTTACTGATTGTGATGGATGAAGAGTGATGTATCTGTCAGCCAGAATGTAATTAAAAACTACATAGTAACAAGTGGCACAAAAACATCCAATTTAGTAGAATGGTGGTGACAGTAGTACAAAAAAGTCCAAATGCCGCCTAGCTTATTGTTAAATGCTGAGGATTCTAAGATGGCTTCTGCCCTCAATAGGAGACTGGTATAAGCAAGGACAATATAATGGAGTTGTATTTTCTAATGTCAGCATATGAAATGAAAAAAATTTTTCAAAACTACCTTTGAAAATCTTTTAGGGTAGCACATGGGGTCCTCTCAGTAGTTCTGTCAGAGCCAGTTTTTTCCAGTGTTGGAAATAAATCTGATTTGGCTGATCACCAGATGAAGTAGTTGGCTTGGGTTTTGGGGGCCCTATTGTAGTCAATCAGACAATCAGTTATTTATCAAACACTTAATACTAGGCTCTAAAGATATCCCTGTTCTCGAGGAGCTTACATTCTAGTGGGGGAGACAAACGGTAAACACAGAATTTCAGATGCTTTTAAGTGCTATAAGGAAAATTAAATAATGAGCATAGCTGGTAGTGGTGGTTATGCTGGTGGCCCCTACTAATGCTACAGTGTTCAGGAAGTACCTTTCTGAGGAGATGACATTTTTCATTTTTTTGAGACAGCCTGGCTCTGTCGCCTTAGGCTGGAGTGGAGTAGCAAGATCTTGGCTTACTGCAACCTCTGCCTCCTGGGCTCAAGTGATTCTCCTCTGTGAGCCTCCCAAGTAGCTGTGATTACAAGTGCATACTACCATGCCTCACTAATTTTTGCATTTTATTATAGAGATGGGGTCTCACCATGTTGCCAGGCTAGTCTCCAACTCCTGGGTTTAAGTGATCTACCTGCCTTGGCCTCCCAAAGTGCTAGGATTAAAGGTGTGAGCCACTGTGCCCAGCCAGGAGACGACATTTGAGATGACACCATGGAGAACATTCCCAGTAGAAGCAATAGCAAGTACAAAGGTCCTGAGAAACTCTGGTGCATTTGGTCACGAGCTTGGTATGTTTGAACTGAAGGCCACTGTGTTCAGAGGTTAGTGATTAGAAAGTGAAAAGGGATGAGATGAGGGATGTAGGCAGGGACCAGATTATCTAGGGCCTAATAGACCATCATCAGGAGTTTGGATTTTATTCTGTTCCAGTGAAAAGCTATTAAAGAAGTTTAATCATAGGAATAACATGACCCAGTTTATTCTTTAGAAAGATCACTCTGACTCAGGGTTTCCTCTGCCTCCCAGGTTCAAGCGATTCTTCTGCCTCAGCCTCCAGAGTAGCTGGGACTTCAGGAGTATACCGAACTAATTTTTGTATTTTTAGTAGAGACAGGGTTTCATCATGTTGGCCAGGATGGTCTCGATTTCTTCAACTTGAGATCCGCTCGCCTAAGTCTCCCAAAGTGCTGGGATTACCAGTGTGAGCCACCGTGCCCGGCCAACTAAGGGTTTCTTAACATCAGCACTATTGACATTTCAGGGCTGAATTAATTCTTTTTGTAGGGACTGTAAGATGCTTGCAGCATCCTACAACATTGTAGGCATTGTAGGATACATACTTTGTTTAGAATCCTTGGCCTTCACCCACTAGATGCTAGTAACCCCACCACCTTCCCTGAGTTGTGACAACCAAAAATGTCTCCATACATTGTCAGGACAAAATTACTATTCTAATGAAACAAAAATAAAAAGGATGTGTACTTAAATATCGGACTCCAGGCCGGGTGTGGTGGCTCACCCTTGTATCCCAGCACTTTGGGAGTGCTTCAGGTGATCCACCCGCCTCAGCTTTGAGGCTCAAAGCTGAGGCGGGTGGATCACCTGAGGTCAGGAGTTCTCCTGGCCAACATGGCAAACCCCCATCTCTCTTAAAAATACAAAATATTAGCCTTGGTGGTGGATGCCTGTAATCCCAGCTACTTGGGAGGCTGAGGCAGAATTGCTTGAACCCAGGAGGCAGAGGTTGCAATGAGCCAAGATGGTGCCATTGTATTCCAGCCTTGGCAACAGAAAGAGACTGTCTCAAAAAAACGAAACAAAAAAACCAGACTGTGACACAGTGGCATGTTCACATTAGAAGCATAATGGCTCTTATTTCATATGAACTCTAGAATATATGATGGCTTTCAGAGATGTTAAGCAGGGCGCAATGGCTCATGCCTGTAATCCCAACACTTTAGAAGGCTGAGGTGGGTGGATTGCTTGAGGCCAGAAGTTTGAGACCAGCCTGGCCAACATGGCAAAACCCTGTCTCTACTAAAAATACAAAAAATTAGCTGGGTGTGGTGGCACATGCCTGTAATCCCAGCTACACGGGAGGCTGTGGCATGAGAATTGCTTGAACCCGGAGGCAGAGGTTGCAGTGAGCCTAGATCACGCCACTGCACTCCAGCCTGGGTGATAAAGTGAGACTCTGTCT